AACGGAAGAACATTATAGCAAAAAAGAGGGCTGAAAATTAGAATGAAACACAATTTTCAAAAATTGTTTGGTAATGATGGACAATGGGTCCACCAAGAAGGAACAAGTTAGAGTTTAGGCTCTAGACACCATGTTAAAGTAAATGGTAGAGAGTCATATGAATAAAATTCCATTTGTATTACGCACAATAGGGAAACAAATATATATATATATATATATATATATATATATATATATATATATATATATATATATATATATATATATATATCATGATACCAAAAGAGATGAGCTTAGGCCCATATATTTAGCTATTTCTAATAGTTTTGACATCAAATTAGGTACTAAAAATATTTTTCTGCATGGTCAGGAGGAAGTCTATATGGAGCAACTTAGGGGGAGTCTGGTTTGGTTTGGAATTGCGTCTTTATATCCATGGTTTAAAGCAATTTGCATGTGTTTGGTTTGAAAAATATTTTGTAGTTGATGTTGCTAGTCACTTTATGTAGATTTCTTGTGTTGATCATTAGAATGTTGTCATTCTTATCCTAAAATACCTCAATAAAGCTTCAAGACAAGGTCTGGTATATGAAAATAAAAGAAATACCCAAATCTCAAGATATTGTGATGTAGATTATATAGGATTTCCAATGGGCAAATGTTATTATATTTTTATTGGAAAGTATTATTTCTTGGAAAAGCAAGAAAATAAAGTGTAGTTCCTCCAAGAACTAAAATTTTGAGATTCAGGAAATGAGGATGTATTGTGATAATTAAGTCGCTCTTCGCATTGTTTCAATCCTATGTTTCATAAGAGGACTAGACACATGGAATTTGACTATCATTTTATTCAAGAAAAATTGTTATGCAAGGAAATTTGTATGGAGTTTGTTGAATCCAATGATCAACTTATTGATGTGTTAACAAAATCCATGAGAAGATCTCAAATGCAATGTACATGTTTCAAGCTTGGTACATGCAATCTACATGTTCCAACTTGAGGGGTAGTATTAAAATAGGCTTTATTAAAAAGTTGTTTTGAGTTGTACTTAGGGTCCTAGAGGTAACTTTACTAGTTTTCTACTTTTTTTCTCTTTTTATTTTTCTCAAGTGCATGGTTAGAAGTAATTGTCTTCTTTTGAATTCCAAGGCAGTGATAGTTGCCTCAACTTTAAAAGTTCAAGTTGGAATATTGGTTGAATAGTGACCATGAGTTATGTTTTCATTAGTGATGTGTTGGGCATATGCACTTAGTGCTTTGTGGTCTGCGTTAGATCCTTTAGTGTTGAAAATGGAAGTCTGTTTTTTGCAAGAAGCTCAATTCGTGACTTCATATAGTGATAGTTTTGTCTGCTGTCTCTGTCCGATTCTTCCTTATCAGAGATGAAGTTCTACATATTGATTGAGAAGTGTCATAAATTTTGCTTATGCTAGTGATAATTTTGTTGTCTGAATTTACTTCTTTTTGTTTGCTTAATTATACTAATTATTTTGCTTTTATTTATATGTGATGCATATCACTTTACCTTTTTAGGGTTATCTTGCACAAGTACTTGCCTTTCAATATCAACATCCTGTCATTGCGATTGATGCATGTTCTCATCATGGGAGGGTTACTGATGCACGAGCAGAACGGATTAGAAAACACTATACATCACAGATGATAAAATCTGGGTTTGTTCTTCAATCTTCATCTTATTGATTATATTAGAAAGTATTTACTATCTTCTTAGAGATGTTTGCAATGCCTAGCTATATGATAAGACAAGAGGTGAACATTTTTCTGGTCAGAGTTTTCAAGAGTAAGTTTTAATTTTCACAAATATGAATTTATTATTAAAATTAAAAACAATCAATGTGATGTTAGTGTATGTTGGGGAGGACAATTGGAGTTCAGATATGATTTTGATTTCAGCACCAGCAGTTTATTATTATCATCTTTATGAGAAATTGTTTGTGTTTATTTGTTTTGCTCTAGATCAGGCATGCGGAGTTTGAATGTTCTGAAGACAATTACATGTCATGTATTGTCCATTGACACATTAAAAACCTTGGTTGAAACATCTTTGACCGGAGATGTTGAGCAATCCATTTTAAAGGCAGAAAATCAAGAGGATAAAGGGAAACTTCATTGGCTTCGCAATGCAAACAAAAAGGCTTCAACTGTTCTTGCCGGGCTTCATGCCTGTGGTGACCTCGCGGTGACTATGCTAAAGTGAGTTTCAGAATATGTATTTTTTCAACATTGTATATAACTCAAGTTTTTCTAATTTTTTTTATTTGGAATGAATTTTTATTGGGCTTTGTCTCAAAACAAGTAAATAGGATATCATAGTTGACTAACATAATTCATTGCATTATTCCTTTAAAGCAGCATTTTTGTTTTTGCATTTAATTACTTTATCTTTATTATTGGTGTTACTCCATGGAAAACATTAATGGTTAACCAATTGTTTAATGACATTGCTAGTGTTTCTGAGTATGTTACTTTGTTGTATAATGGATATTATCTGTAGTCTTCGGACATGTAATTCTTTAATGCATTTTCTTATTAGGACTTTCTTAGAGTGTAAAGATGTTAAGGCTGTTGTTAGTCTTGGTTGCTGTTACAATTTATTATCTGAAGAAATGATTGAGGATGGTGGATCTCAGTGTGGATTTCCAATGAGTCATGCTGTAAGATCCACCGGCCTATCACTTGGTAAAAGTGTGGTAAAAGTGCACGTGATCTTGCTTGCCAGGTACATGATCTTATTGGTCCCTCTCCGACGTCTAAATTTAACAAGTTGATCTCTAGGCAACTAACATCTTAGGGTTTGTAAATTAAGCATACTCTTTTATTTTTATTATGAATTTTATGTGTCCTTATAAAAAATACAATAACAACCAAGCTTCCTTATCAGGTGAGGTCAGCTACATAGATCAAATGACACCAAATATTGTCATAAACCATGTCTATTGACAAGTTATTGAGTCTGGTTTAAATTCTTAATTGTTTCTCCTATAGTTTTTCTTGGTTTACCCTCTACTTCTAGCTATTGTGCACTTGATGTAGTCCCCTTATTAGGGCTTGTACAAGTCTTCTCCTCACATGCCTGAAACATCTAATGCAAGACTTTACCATATATTCTACCATAGCTGCTGCCCCAACGTTTTTTATAATACATTTGTTCCTAGTCCTATCTCATCTAGTATAATTATCTGCTCATCTAACGCAACAATTGATCTCCACTACATTGATGTTATTCTCTTGTTGCCTTTTTAATACCCAACATTCAGTTCTATTAATACAACTTGGCAGGCCTTATAGCTATGCTGCAAACTTTTCCTTTAAGTTTTAGCATGCATTTTTCTTTTTCATTACAGATAAGACTCAAGGTACTCCTCCATTTAGTCTATCTCACATGAATCCTACGGTCTACTTTTCTCTTTATTTCTCCCCTTCTTGTATGACGGACTCTAGATACCAAACTGTGTAACTTGTGGTAAGATTTGTTCTCCGAGTTTTACCTTTATGCTAGGAATGTTTCACCTCTTACTAAACTTCCATTTCATATACTACGTGTTGTTTCCCACTTACGTGAAAACGATGCTCTACCAAAACTAGACTTCACATCTTGAATTTCCCATTTAATTCCTCTCTTGATTCTCTAGCTAAAACTACAGTGTGCTAAAAAATACATCGTGGTGTAGTCCTATTGTTATAGGATAATATGTTACGACAGCATTTTGTGTTATCATCCTAGTCATGCAATTACTTGATTTGAATTTATGCAATACAAATTCCTTTCTCTCCAGGGACTTCCTGATAGTACTCTATTCACAAATTAGGAATATACTATCATTTCTGACAATTTTCACTGAACAACTAAAAGAAATAGAAAATATGGAAGGAAATTCAAAGAGAACAAGTAAAAGAACTCTTCCAACAATTGTCATTAGACATTAGTTTAATCCAAGTGAAAGCTTAAGCCACTTGGCTCAGATTAAAGCAATGTGAAAGCTTATGTTGAATAGAGAGAAAAGAAGAATGAACACGAGAGTGATAGAATAAGTGATGAGCATTATAAGCAAGAACAAACAATGAATTAAGAATAATCGAATAAGAAAATGGGAGAGAGAACCTATGAATAGGATGGAGGAGGCACACCACTTAAAAGAGTTCCAAGATAAGTGATGAAGACTCACACTTGATCTAAAGAGGATCAAGATAAGATTCATGAAGAAAGTAACTCACACAAGAGTAAAGTAGCCTCAATTCATTAATTCCAAAACGTGAGTTAAAAGGGGTGGAGAGGGGTATTTGTAAAATAGCTATGTCTTCCCTCCTCAAGGTTATGGATGATCTCAAATTAGGCTTGAAATAATTGACCCAAAATCTTCTCATGCTATAAATACAAAATGAAATCCAAATTACAAGAAAAAAAATTAAAAGCCTAAAATTTCTAAATTAAAAAATTACAAAATAGATGCAGAAATATTTTGTGAATTTCTTGAACCTCGTCTATGCATTCATCACTTCCACAAACCTCTCTTGGCACTTGATCACATGCCTTTTCCAAGTTAATAAAAACTATTTAAATATTTTTTATTTCTTTGATATTTCTTAATTAAATTTAACAATAAGTATATAAAAATTGGTGCTGAAAAATTCCAATCTCACTACCCAGCCCAACGCTAACACCTTCCTTTTTGAGGCTTGCGCTTTTTGATGCCTCTTGCTTCAAGGCATTAAATTCCCTGGTGCCTTTCACCTTTGATTACCTTGAAAATGCAATGGAAAATCGGATATCGTACACTACAATTAAGTCGTTGCAAAACTAATTGCATGATTATGTATAGACTAATTAAACAAAGAACATAATCAAGCATAATATAAACCACATATAAAAAGCATATTTGTCACAATATAACAAGACTATAAATGTGCAGAGTTTTGAGAAATACGTATGTGATGTTTTCATTATAGATGCTTTTAAGGGTTCAACAGTGGTTGTATCATGGTCGAACCTGTACTAATATCATAATAATATTATCAAATAAATATAATATAACTTTATAACACTAAAAACTACAATAAAAACATCATTGGAATTTATTTTTAACATTCAACATAAATAAAAAAATATATATCAAATATACCATATACCATAATACTTATGTTTAAATTTTAATAAAATACAACAATGTTCAGTATTAATAACATGTTTACGTACATACGAAAAAATGAGAAATTAATATAATATAAAACTATAAGAAATTAACAAATAAAAATATGAATGACCAAATTACGTTTCATCCAAACACAAAATTGATAAAATAATTTATATCAATTTGTATATCTTGTTAAACTATTTATCCTAAAATTGTTTTAGATTTTTTTTGGGGGGGGGGTTCAGACTGGTTTTGCACACTGGTTTTCACTAGTTTTTGTCCGGTTTTTGGCCAATTGTCATTGGTTTTGAAAACACCTTGTTTTCTTAATTGTGATTAGACCATTTACCAGGCTGGTTCCTAGTTTGTCCGTTTGGTCTGGTTTTAAAACTATGTTTGAAACTTATTTGATGTCAAAAGTTGACTCTAAGCTTGGATGATGTGGGATAGGGTATTAGGGTTTTACCAAGGTGTAGAGAAGGATTGAGAGAAGAATTAAATGCAGCCAATGAATGGTTCTTTTGGTGTAACAAACCAATAAAAAGGAATATATTTTTTGATAATTATGGGTTTGATATGTACCAAAAAGGGTCTAACATTCAAAAGCCTAGTGCAAGCTAAGAGTTTCTAGACTTCACTACCTTCTAGCCTAGTCTAAGTTAGGGCTTATTGAATAGAAGTGGAAGTATATAATATTGATTCAATGTATAAAAGACAACTGAGTTTCTGCAAACACCACTATATACACAGGTAAAACAGTTGTACCTAACTGACCATGAGAGATGCAACAACTAGCCACAACAGTTGTAACAAACAACTAACCAACCAAAGCAGTTACAACAAACTGATAACCAACTACTATACTAACAGTAACAGTTTTATTTGACACAATGGAGTTATACACTCACAGGGCTTCTACAATACATTTATTAAAACTAAACATCCTAGGTACAACTTACAAGAAAGAAGCTACATGTAAACAACTAAGTTTGATACTTAATTTGTAACACAATGCCATTGGATTCTTGGGCCTTAAAAAAAACAATGCAATACGTTCCAGCAATATATCAATATCTTGAAATTATTATTACCCACCATTGTAGCTAATTTAGAAACAGAGGCAACTTCTTTGCAAATTGTTCAAAACTTTTCCCTGCAATCTGTTTTTTGTGAATTTACTGTGTTGTTATATTTCTGTCTGTTTAAGTTTTCTTTAAGTCATGTGGGAGATATTTAATGCACTGTCTATGTTTATCCTGATAGAGTGCAGAGAGATGGAGGAGATTGGACATGCATGCTGGTATTCACAACTTTGAGTTGCATGCTTTTCGAGCTGCTTTTCAAATGGTACCAAATTATAACTTTGTTTTGTTATATGGTTTTTGTAAATTGTAACTTCATTTTCAATCCTCCTTATCTTACTTTTAATATAAAAATTAAGCAAAAAATATAGATAACTACTGTACCTTTTTAAATGTACATAGATGAAACTTCTGAAATTTATTACAATTTCATTATGTCTTGCAGAGGGGTGTAAATGAGCGAATTATTTATGATCTATTCCAGTTCGGCTTGTTAATTAGTTGTTCAAGCTTGTTTGTTTAGTGAAATACACAAACCCAAGCTTTAAAAGTCTGACATTAAGGGCTCATGAGTAACTTATATATATATATATATATATATATATATATATATATATATATATATATATATATATATATATATATATATATATATATATATATATATTAAACTAGTAATTTTTCTATCAAAAATATCTTTTTAATATTTATGAGTTACATTAAGATAAGAGTTTAGTAAATAACAAATGACGTTTCAGTTTCTACATTGATAAAGTTGAAAAATAATTGAAGAAAATTTTCATAAAAACCAAATTAATTAAATTATAGATGAGCTAAACAAGCCAAACTAAAGTTTAATATTTTTTAAACAATTCAAGCTCAAGGTTTTGATCAAACTCGATACTACAATTGTCAAGCTTGAGGAATAAATTTTTTCTACAAGTCAAGCCCAAGGTACTGAAGCTTGACTCGACCCATTTACACCCGTCTGGCTTTGTTGAGTCTATTTAATGTCCTTAAGTGCTTGTTTGGATCAACAGACAAAATGTGCAGGGGCCAAGAAATGCAAGGAAAGACAACGTCTTCATGAACTTTTCTGTCATTTTAAGGAGGGAAGTGCTAATTTCAAGGCACAAAACTTTCTTTGCACATATGTGAAGAAAGTCACTAAATTAAAGAAAAAAATAGAAAAAAATAAAAATAAATATTTAATTGATATAATAGTAAAATAATAAATAAATTAATTTATTTCACTTTGCACTTATTTCTACTCTCTTTTTCTCTATCCAAACAATCTCACTTTCTATTCTCTTTTTTCCTTTTCCACTCCCACAAATTTACTTTCAATCCAAATACAAGCTAAAAGTTTTCGATGGTTTACATGCCAATATGCCTTCTTAAAAAGGTGTGATTGCCTCGGCCTGCATTTACTTTTGATTTTTTGTTTTTTGGAGTTTAGTGGAAAATGGAAGAAATTTTAAGCATTGTTACCAATTTTGTTATCTTGGGAGATTGTTTATATCAAAATCCTAGTGTTGTTCACTAGTATTTAAATACATTTTCTTGGGCGGATGCTTTAAAGGATTAGAGTGCTCTTTCTACTGATGAGTTTTTATTTGCTCCTTCTCTGGCTTTTTATTTTGCATGTCGTAGCTTGTCTTGGTTCTCCTTGTAAAATTTTATTATTTTTTATGTCTTCCATACATGCGAAGATAATAAAGTTTTGTACTCTTCTTTTTCTTTTATGTATGCCTCATAATTTTGTTATAGCTAGACAATCTTCTATTTTGAATTGAATGAGATGGTCATATTATTATTTAGCTATAAATTTTTGTATTAAATTAGACACAGATTGATTTAACTTCTTGGCCATCTTCATTGTGTTTTTACCCCGCATTTTGTAGCAATGTATATTTATCAACTTGACAAATGGGTAAGTATATATAATGAAAAACAAAAATGAAGTTTATGACATATAGAGAAATGATGGTTATTGTATTGTACTTGTCTGAGCTAGTCATGACTACACTACACTTGCATTATGCTTCACAGCCATCCTTGTAAAGAGCAGTGGCGGATCTAGGATCCTGGACTAAGAAGGGCAATATATTTAAAAATAATAAATGTTGTTACTATATAATATATGAATCTACATACTCTTATATGAATACATGGGTTTGCCACTATTAAAGCTAACAAGAAATATGATTCATTAGTAAGGGAAAAATACAGAAGTCAATAAACCTCATACGGAACTCATATATATATATATATATATATATATATATATATATATATGAACAGAGGAGTACTGCAATATGAGTGGTATGGTAGATCAGTTGTAACAAAATACAACTGTCAAACGACTTTAACAATAGATAATTGTCCAGATACAACAACAAAAGCATATTTCTAACATATGGATGCATAAAAAATTAATTTAATATATTTGTTTGCAATTTTAGGAAAATGAAGGGTGCAACTACCCTCCCACATTGCCATTTGGGTCCGCCATTGGTGGAGATGCATTTTGCATTATATCTTGCAAGCATTTAAGGCAGTGAGGGTGAGACTAGCATACTTTAGAAATTAGATAGACACAATGCCCACATTTACCAAAGATCACTATAATATTCGTTTTGCTAATGCATTCTGCTGCAATCTGTGGATATAACAACTGTTTTTTTCAATGGTTCTTTATTTAACCGTGGATCACCCCTTCATTCACAATCTCTCCTGTTAACGAATATTATATTGCTTTGAAGGTTCTTTCTAAATATTATCCAGAAATTATGATGAGTACTCCTTCAATTGGGCGTAAAGGGAAGGCTCTTCGTCGGCGACATCAGAGGAGATCCACAGAATCCCAGCTCCATCTTAAAGGAAGTACTTGCCACACGAGACAAAAGTTCCCTCCTGTAGTTCCTTCAGAATCAGAAACTGGTATTTGAAACCCCTTTTGAAGCATCCCAGCTCCATCTTTACTTAGTTCATTAGTTTGACGTAGCTATTTAGTTATTACATTGGTTTGTTCTTTGTACTTGTTTCTCCCACCTTAATAACTTTTAATTCTTCAATTAAAAAAACTTGGTAAAACGTTCTCTTCCCTGCAAAACCAGTATAAAGTGTTCTTACAATTATTTAGTTAAAATAATTTGTGATCTAGTACTGTGTGTCTTCAATGTGTTACAGACGAGACTTTGGGCTCCATTTCAGAGACACAGACCTTACCTAGTGAAATTCCTTGTAGTCAAAGGGCTGGATGTGAAGGTATTAAATCTGATGATAAATTTTCACATTTTGAGAATTTTTGTGAGTCCGGATTGTCTCGTCTTGGAATTAAACATTCAGATGATATAAACCTTCAAGGCATATGGAAGGAAGCAGAACCATTTGCTGTATGTCAATTTCAATTTCTTCTGTTATTCAAACTGTTGTCATTGTAGTGATAGTAAATCCTTTCTCTACTCTGTTTAGCAATTTTTTTGTTATTCCTTATATATGATTTATTTTTTGCAACTTCAACATATTGTTATATTCAATAGGATTTGCATTTGGTGCTGCGTGCATCTGTGTGATTGAAATGAATGGTTGCTCGGTTAGGAATGCCTAACTTTTGATGAGGGGCAAAAATGATTGATTGAGTGCATTGCACAGTTTGATGACTTATATTACATATACTTCAAGTTTTTACTTCAATACTACTTGGATTAGTTAAGTTTTAAAATGTATTTTTGAAACATAAGAATTCATATTCAATGTGGTGAATGGGATATAGTGCTGGCAGACTGATGGTTTGGATTTTTAGGGAGGAATACGGTAAAAATCCTGACTCAAAGCAGGAGTCCCAATGGAGGGGATAAGCTGTGGTGGAGGAAGAAAATTACAGTTACAGAGAATTGTTAGAAGAAAGAAATAATTTGAGTGATAGTGTTCATTTCCTTAGCCTGGAAAAAGAGAGAAAAGATAAAATTGTAGTTTTATTTCTTGATTCAAAACAGTATAAGGATGTTTTGTTCATAGAGTACTTCACAACACCTGAACTACCTATCACCTTAACTACCCATCATCTCAACTACTCAGCACTTGAACTAACCTAGTAATAATTAGTACAACTCTTGCAAATCAAACAAAATATTCTTGTAACTCAATACTTTCTCTCAAGTTGGTAAATGGATATCAATCATTCTCAGCTTGCATGTAGATCACAACCATTCTAAGGGAAGTCCCTTTGTAAATAAATTTGGAAGCTGAAGTCCTAATGAGATCTAGGAAGCAATTATTACGCCACAATGGGTTTTTCTTTGATGAAGTCTCAGTCAATCTCTACTTGTTTGATCTTTTCATGTTGAACAGGCTTGTAAGTAATACTAATAGCTGATTTATCGTCACAAGATAGTCATACATCTTCATATGTCACTTTAAGATCATTAAGAATAATTTTCAACCATAACATTCACACACCCCCTATGCCATAGCTTGAAACTCAGCATCTGCACTGGATCTTGCAAATACATTTTTTGTTTCTTTTCCAAGTCACCAAATTTCCACCCTAAAACATATATATCCTAAGGTGACTTCCTATCAGTAACAAAACCAACATAATCTGCATCAGTATACATCTCCATATTTAATTTTCCATCCTTAAAGAACTCCTTTCCTAGACTTGTCTTCAAATATTGAAGGATTCTTTTTATAGCCTGTGAGTACCATTCTCTTGGATCATGCATGAATTGTCAGCCCATACTCATAACATAAGTCATGCCAGGTCTGGTGTAAGCTAGGTAAATGAGTTTCCCTATAGTCTTTGAAATAGGCTCTTATTTATAGTAGGACACCCTTCATCACTACCAATTTTGTGATTATGTTCTAGAAGTGCTCTAGTGGACTGACAAGACAAATTGGGCAACATAAGCAGATGCTGGACAATTTTTTGCAGCTTGGCGAGGTTAGGATGACCCAATTGAGTATTAATTAGAGGCTAATCAACCACCAAGCCAACATGAGCAAAGGTTCAAAGGTGGAGTGAGTGAGACCATCAAATGAATGATTTATGTGCACAACAGAAATAGTGGAATCAGAGGCTTGGCATTTCTCATACCATTTTAGAAAGTCGTGGAAGATAGCAGGAGATTCAAAACTATCAATATTTGGGGCTTGGCATTGGAGTAGCTTGGGCAAGACCATGTAGCGCATATAACATTGGTCAATTGTATGACACATTTTCTGGCAATGATCACACTTGGGGCGACCCTTTTCAGGTTTGCGAGAGAAATCGCGATCATTACACTGAGATACCAATGAAGATGAGTCACTAGAGGTGACAAAAGAAGGTATTTAAGTGGATAACTTGCACAACAAATGCAACAAGCTGGACCATGCAGAGTTCAAGTTGGGAAAGTCGGGGTGCCCAAAATCTGATCATGGACAATCAAATACTCTTCGGGAAGCCCACATAAAGTAGTCAACACAAAGAAGGTTTGACTTTCCTCTAGTTCTTGAGTAGGTGTGGAAACGAGAGGCAACATGATCGAGCAGAGATCAAGAATAGATGAGAAAGTATTTCTTAAATGTGTGAATTAAGAAAAATGTCACAAATCCAGAGCAAATCTCCACAATAGAGAAGTAACCCCATTGCCTAACCATAAAGGTAAATTTGAAAATACAAAACTGACTCTTACTAATTCCCACTATGCTTTTATTAAGGGAATTGCCTAACAAAATTGCCACGTCATTATCAAGCTTTCCTTAAGAGCCCTTTTTTATTTCTTCTCTCATACACACGCCAAACCGTGGGCCCAACATTTTCTTTGTTAACCAATATGTCTTCCTCCTTATTAACCAACCCATTCCTATCACAACAATTCATTGAAATTATATAGAACACCATGAACTTTGCTTAAATACTCCACCATGGAGCCATCAGAGCAATTAGGAGTGATATTACTAGAGATTTTGACAAATGTTATAAAGATGTTGAGTATCATTGATGTACAGTAAGTCAAGCTTGTTACCGCAATCCAAAACAGGTCTCATAGGAACGAAATATTTACTTTAGAGAATGATGAGTAGTCAACTTAATAATGCTACAGATTTGAGCATCAATTTTTGAACAATTGAAGGCGGCCTTTTTCATTAATGGAGGCCACCATGTGAGTGAGATTGTCAACATGTTCCTAACTTTTAAGCTAGAGCTTAAGATCAAAGGCCCAGATGTTATAATTAGTTCCAACCAACTTGTCAATAAAGAGCAGAACGTTGGCATAGTAACAATGAAAGAGTCAAACTTAGCAGCACTAAGAGAGGCCTTTCCGCGAAGAGAAAAACATCCCCAAAAAGGTGAGAAACGTAACTTAGACTTTCATAACAGCAAGGTGAGTCCAACAAGGACAAATTTGTAGAGAGTAGTGAGGAGATTCCAGCAACAATGATTGTTGCCACAAAACTTGCTAGAAACTCTACCACACGTAGCAGCCAACAAGCGAAAGAGAGTAATGTGACTTAGAGGAGGCACGCAGGAGGGAGTCTTGTTGCGTTGTTTGATGCAAGACTGGCAGCATGGTGATCATCTGACAAGGGGGAAGTTGTGTTTGTTTGGTCGGGGTGACATTGGTGGTAGTGTTCTTGGGCGGAATGGTAGAGGCTGTGAACAGTGGTAGCAACGGTGGCTGGTGGCAGAAATAGTGGAGAAAGAGAGGAAAAGACAAAGGGTTAGAGATTGGAATGAAACATGATTTTCAGAAAATATTTAGCACCAACAATAGGCCCAAGGTCCACCTGGAAGACACAGATCTAGATTAGGATCCAGATACCATGTTAAGATATATGGTAGAGTTATATGAGAATCCCTGTTTGTATTTGTTAGGGTATAAGGGGAAAGAGAAGTTAAGAAGATAGTTAGCATATTAATAAGTTAGTTAATTGCATAAGGTGTTGTTTAAATATAAATAGGGTGTGAAGGATAGGAGAAGGGGGGAGATATTCTTTGTAAATTGAGCATTAGCTCTTTGTAAAAGGAAAAATCCTTTGTGAAGGGGAAACCCTTGGAGGAGAGTCTTCTCCTATTTCTTGTTCTTTTCAATCTATTCAATAAAGAAACTTTCTTTTCTTTTTCTGTTTAATTCTTGGTTCCTAACAATTGGTCCGACCTGCCGGATCCAAAATCAAGGAGCCATGGAGGGAAGAGTAGGAGTGCTGGAAAGGTGGGCTGAACGATGGACCAGTGAACAGGAAAAAGTGAATACAGAGCTGAGAAATGTCATTCAAGAAATGAAAGATTTACTCAAGAATTTCAAGAAAAGTGACAGAGAATCTGAGAAGGGTGAAAATTCGGTACAAGGGGGGATAGGAGGACGATTGGAGCAAGAAGATTCTGAGGAAGAAGAAGTAGTGCAGAGACAGTGGGTGAAGAGGGTGGATCTACCTGTGTTTGAAGGAACTGACCCTGTGGGGTGGATTGGAAGGGCGGAAAAATTTTTTGAGATTCAAAAGATCAACCCAAGAGAGAAATTGCGTCTGGTTTTTATTAGCATGGAAGGGAATGCGAATCATTGGTTCAGATTTTGGAAACAAAAAACCAAGAATCTTTCTTGGGAAGAATTCACTGTGGCTTTGAATAGAAGGTTTGGAGGACAGGAACGAAGTACAATCTTTGAGAGATTGGCAGCCATTAAACAAGGAGTAAGTGTGGAAGAATATACTCAGGAATTTGAAATTTTAGTGTCTCAAATCCCAGCTATGGAGGAAGACCAACTTCTGGGATATTTTTTGGCAGGACTAAGAACTGAAATTCGTAAACAAATCAGGCCTCACGACCCAAGGGATTTGTTAAGAGTTATGGAGGTAGCAAGAGATGTTGAAGATGTCATGAAAGAAACAAGTGGAGGAGGAGGAAATGTGTACCAGAACAAAACTTCTGGATTCCGTTATCAAGGAGGAACGAGCAAGATATCAAGAACCGAGACCTTTAAAGGATCTGGTTCTTCCCAAGGAGTGCCCAGTAATAACAATACTGCCAGGAAGGGGACAGGGGATATTTCATGGGGGTCCAAGGTAGGAAATACTTCTATAGGGGAGGTCAGAACAAGAGGAGTGAAGAATCTGCCATATCCTGAATATATACGAAGAAGGGAGGAAGGAAGGTGTTTTCATTGTGGGGGCCCTTACAGTCCAAGTCATAGGTGCCCAGAAAAAAATTTAAGAGTAATCATCATGGCAGAAGAGGAAGAAGAAGAGGGTCCTGGAGAGGAAGAAGAGGACGAAGAAAAACTAGAGATGGAACATAAAAGGATGGAGCTTTCTTTGTTTTCAGCAGGAGGGTTAACACCAACAAACACCATGAAACTGTCGGGGTGGATTAAAGGGAGAAAGGTGCTGATCCTGATTGATAGTGGGGCTAGTCACAATTTTGTTGCTTCAAGTTTAGTGGGAGAACTAGGTCTGCAAGTGGAAGAGGCGAGGCCTTATTGTGTGAAACTTGGGGATGGGCAAAAGAAGTTAAACCGTGGGTGCTGCAAGGATATTAAAGTGAGCCTAAGTAATTATGAAGTGCAGGAAACCTTTTTCCTTTTTGAGCTAGGTGGAGTAGACTTGATATTGGGGATAGCTTGGTTGGCAACTTTGGGAGAAGTAAAAGTTAATTGGAAATCGTTAACCATGAATTTTGAGTGGGAAGGACAACAAGTTGAGATAAGAGGTGACCCTACCCTTACCAAAAAATTGATTTCTCCGCAGGCTTTGATAAAGGAGATAGATATAGAGGCCATAACTATACTCTGGGAAATGGCAGCAGGTGGGGCCAGCAGTAAAAAGGGAGAAACAGTTTTAACCACTGGACAGACAAATGAGTTGGAGGGTATTTTAGAAGAATTCAGTGGGTTATTTCAGGATGTTTTTGGGCTTCCTCCCCAACGACCAGTAGACCATAGAATCCCCATTAAAGAAGGTGAAAATACTGTCAATGTCAGACCTTATAGGTACCCACATTTTTTAAAGGCTGAAATAGAAAGACAGGTGGCAGAGATGTTGAAGATGGGTATCATTAGGCCCAGTAACAGCCCATTCTCCAGCCCAGTGATATTAGTAAAAAAAAAGGATGGAAGTTGGAGATTTTGTATTGACTATAGGGCTCTCAATAAGGCCACGGTTGCAAATAAATTCCCCATTCCAGTAATTGAGGAATTAATTGATGAAGATCATGGTAATAAGAATGAGTAATGGGATCAAGTTTCTACTATACAACCTTGAGGACAAGGTTGATTTTTAGGCGGGGTGTATTGTTAGGGTATAAGGGGAAAGAGAAGTTAAGAAGATAGTTAGCATATTAATAAGTTAGTTAATTGCATAAAGTGTTGTTTAAATATAAATAGGGTGTGAAGGATAGGAGAAGGGGGGAGATATTCTTTGTAAATTGAGCATTAGCTCTTTGTAAAAGGAGAAATCCTTTGTGAAGGGGAAACCCTTGGAGGAGAGTCTTCTCCTATTTCTTGTTCTTTTCAATCTATTCAATAAAGAAACTTTCTTTTCTTTTTCTGTTTAATTCTTGGTTCCTAACAGTATTATGCATAACACATGAACATATATTTATATAGATATAACAATACAACGAGATGGGCTATGGCCCATATATTTAGTTACTCTCTTCATTACAGGTTCCTCTCTTTCTTTCTTTCTTTCAATCTCTAATTCAGAAAATGGATTCAGTTTTTCTCTAAAAACAGCATGGTAATCTCAATTACTTTCTTCGTATAGCAGTTTGTCTTTCACCCAATAGGTCTCTTCTTATGACTCAAACTAAATACATAGAGGACCTTCTTGCCAAGACCAACATGCTTGAGGCTAAGCTTATCTCTTCTCCTATTTAAGGCTGTAAACTTTCTAAATAGGGTTCTGATTTATTGCGAGGTCTGTGATTTTATAGATTAGTAGTGGGTGTTATTCAATATCTCACTATCACTCAACCAGAGATATGTTTCGCAGTTAATATTTTATGTCAGTTCCTCTTAAATCTCCCTGGATTGCTATAAACAAATACTTAGATATCTAAAGGGAACTGTTTAATGTGGTACATAAATTATTCTAGGATTTGCTAATCAATGTATAATAATTAAAGCTTTTTGTGTTACAGACTTGGCTTTTGATCATCGGTCTACAACTTCAATTTTTCTTGGTTCTATTTTGGTTTTGTTGCAATGGCTGTTTTCATCAAGATAACCTGTCAGGGATAGGTTAACCGATCTTCACGAAAAGCATTTTTTTCTTTTAATTAGCTACTAGCACCTAGGCGTACTCTGTAGGCTTTACAATCTTTCTAATCATGTACTTTCTCCTATAAATAAATGGATCAGCTAAGAGATAATTAATCTCTTGAGCTATTTTATCATATTTTTCTATCTTAAGTGATTTTGTGGTAATCTTGTAAGCAAAAAGTTGTTGCTAGACCTAGTACAGAAGCAAATTGCTGAAGCTTTGCTCAGTCACCCCTGAACTTCTTTGCATCCAAACACTTCTTTGCAACAACCTTGTGTTGTTCTTGTTCATCCTTCACATATGCCAAAACAGAGCACATGGAACTTGATATTTTCTTTGTTGGAGAGCGGGAAAGGGTTCACCAACCAACTAATTGTTAAACATATTGAGTACCATGATAAGTGGGTAGATATACTTACTGAATCCCTATCTCTTACAAGATTTCTTTTTCTCAGATCCAAGCTTACAGTGGTTGACCTACATGTTGTATCTCACCCAACTTGAGCTTGTGCATTGCTGGAGATATTTCTTTTTTCTGTTTGCTGTCAGTCGTAACTATTTTTGTGTTCAGAATACCAACTAATTGATTAGTAATTCTCTCTTGTCAATAGATATAGGTTTCTGTTTCAGAGTTATTAACTTCTTCTGGGTGTACATATTTCGTTTAGTATGAAGATATTTTTCTTTCAACACCTAATAATATTATCTTGTGCATACCGATGTGATACAACAAAGCCTTAACTTCTGTTTATACTAATTCCACACTCTTAATCTCAAACAAATAAGAAAACAAATCATGAAATATGAATCTTCCAAAATACTCTTAATATTCTAAGATACAAAATGACGAGAAATTTAAACACAATCTATAAATAGATAGATTGTAGAATGTTATTGTAAGTTATAATTCGTGTTCATAGATTGCGTTTTCTTTGTACGATTATGGTCATATAATTTTGGTCATGAAATAGTTTTCTGTAAAATTAAAATAATCTGTTTGAATTGTATTTACTGAGATGTTTGCTATTAATGGAAAATAAATTTCACACGTTTATTTTAAGTTCCATATATTTATGATGCTATAATTAAAGTAAGAAACAAAACTATTCAGTACTTACGTACCAATTATGTACAGGACCTTGTAGGACCTTATTGGTCGCTGAGAGCCGCTTTAGGACCTCTTTTGGAAACTCTTATTCTACTGGATAGGTTATTATTTCTTCAAGAGCAAGGCAGTGCTTTAGAAGCCTGCTTGTTGCCGATATTTGATGCAAACATATCGCCAAGAAATGTGGCTATAATTGCAAAAAAGATTGACAAAGATTTAAGATCTTCCTGATACTGAAAAGGTATAAGTAGTGTGTGCGCATGTCATTTACATCCCTGCCATTTATTACCGTCACACAGTCACGGCTCTTTTCATATCCTTTCATTTTATTACTCTGTTACTGTCTTTCTGTAGCAGGAAACATCCCAGTGCTCTCTATCCAGAAAACAAAGGTGTTAAGCGAGACCATGAAGCACAGTTTTCAAGCAGAAATGACTCAATATGGCTTGGTTGGATGATATTTGTCACATGTTGATATTATTAAATCTGCTAAACCATCTAAAGTAGCGATATTGCTTCTCCCCACTCTAATGCTAGACTTTCTTGTGAGTCGAGTTGATTCTCAAAATCCTCTAACATGAAGAAACTCAATTCACAGAAGAAACTCGAGTTGAATGCTGCAATCATTCAATGCTCGTCTTTCTTGAGTTTTTGCTGATTCTCTCAAGACCCTTGCAGTTGAATATCAAGGTCATTTGTGACAATGACCCAATGCAGCTGACTGCTTACCTCTGTCCACATCAGAGCATGGTTGTTTTTGAGGGCCTAACATCATGAACTTGGTTCCCATTAATCATATGTAACGTCCTGAGTATCTATTTTGGCAATCCACTTAAATGATGCAAGCTTGGAGAAGTATTAATTATTAAACTTCCAAAATATTTGTGTGTCTTCATTCTTTTTGGTGTCTTTCCGCTTGAGGGAATTTGACCTAATTTCTTGTGGAGTGCTGAGTGTTCTCAATCTACATTGCTAGAAGATATTTCCAGTAGTATGTGCTGAAAATGTCCAATGGATGTTTGGCCCTCTGAAGTAGCTCCTGCTTTCTTCTTTTCTCTGTTTCAATCTCTTTTGGTGATGATTTTCTGTTCAATAAATTGTTTAACACTTTCTGTGGTTCCCTAAATAATAATGCGGTTATTTCAAGTTCTTGTGTTTTTTACTTGCAAGCGATGACCCAGATTAAGATTTCACTTTAGCTTCTATAATATCAGAAATATTATGTGTTGCATGTTTTTCAAGATGCTCTGGAGTCCGAGTACTTGAGAACTCACGTGCATCTAGGACTATATTCTTTAATGTTTAGTTTGGATTTTATGAAGAAAAGTGACAGAAATGAAAAAAGATTGAAAAAAAAAGAAGTAAAATTGATTGGATGAGAAAAAAAAACGAAAAAAAAAATTATTTATTTATTATTTTTCAATTATTATAATTAAATTTATTAAAAAATTATAATATATTTTCTCTTTCGAAAATATATAACCGGTTATATAAATTAATAAAATATTAACTTTCATAATTTATAATTTTTTAAATATTTTTAATAATACTTTTTTATTAAAAGTATTCACAATAACTTAGCTCTAGAACTAATTCTTATAAATAACCTATCTTCATTTTAAATGAGATTTTTATAAATAAAATATTTTTATTTTACTTGAGACCTAATTCATAATGAATTGTTATATATATATATATATATATATATATATATATATATATATATATATATATATATTAATTTTGTTTACTTACATTTCACTTAAAGTAATTTAACTATTATAAATATTAATTTAATATAATATTTTAACTTGAAATTATGGTAAATTTATAGGTTTTAAATCTTTTTTTATAAAACTAATTTCTTTTAAAATAAAAGTATAAAATCAAAATTAAAATCAAACTAATTTTATATAAATAAAAAAAATATTTAAACAAGAATCATATATCATTATTATATATTTCTATTCTTGTTTAGAATTATTGTCAAACAGTTCTTAAATTTATTTGTTTATAAGAAATGTTTAAGAAAATAAGTGTGTGAGATAATATTTTTTATTTGTTTTTCATTTTTCTTTTTAAGAAAAAAAATGTCTTTCTTTTTGTGTCTGCAACTTTCCAAACTCATATTTAACTTTAAATTAGTTACATGGATTGGATTTCTACATTAAATCTTTTTACTTTTTTAATCCGATTTTAAATCTACGTTGGTTAAAATTCGTTTTAAATTAGTTGAAATATTTATGAAGCCGAGTCATTTGCCAAAAATGTAAAACAGTTTTTGGTATAAATGAACTCAACCAATCATATGGTTAAAAAAAAACAGTAATAGAGTAAAAAAATATTGTACTTTCATTTAAAACAGAACAATAAATAATATTGTGTTATTGAATTATCATTTTTTCATTCCTAAATTATTTTAATTTCGTTTTCTTAATTACTTTAGTATAGTTTTATTTTTATTTGTTTAGAAGAAGAAAATACAACACTTATTATGTTTGATTATAATGAGATTCGGCCCGAAGTCCATAATCATATTTAATGGCCCAAATAAAAAAGTCAAACCTCTTATGTTTCAACTCTGACCAACCAAACCCTACTTCTTCTTAATTCTTCTCATCTCACTATCCATAAACCCTAAACCTAGCTTCGCGCATGGCTTCCGAGAACATAAATCCCGACACAGTCTCCAAAGCCGTCGACGCGCTCCTCAAATGGCGTCGTTCCCAATCGGAGACTCAGAAGCCGAAACTCTTCGACCAAGACGAAGAATTCGTGTACCTCATCTTAACGCTGAAGAAGGTTCCGGCGAAATCGCGCTTTAATCCTCACAAGATCCCTCTCCCTCACTCCCTCCTCTCGCCGTTCTCCGAACAATGCTTTATCTCGACGACCGGGCCAACAAGGCGCGCGTCACCAAGGCCCAGGCCCAGACCAAGATCCAATCCGAGTCCATCCCCATCGCCAAAATCCTCAAGCTCTCTAAACTTGCCTCCGATTATCGCCCTTTTGAGGCGAAGCGGAAGCTCTGTGATTCCTACGATATGTTTTTTGTTCAATTCAAGTTCACCCATCGTATCCAACAGTTGTCTCATCAATTCCTTATCAACATGCTGCAAAGCCAGTAAAAATTGAATAAACATCCCTCGACAACCCATTTTAAACATCCCTTCACAATCGAATAAAAAAATGGAAAATGATACTTTCATAACCCAAATTCGTATTATAATAATAGTTTTATTTTATTTTTATTTTTATTTTTATTAAATCAGTTTATAGATTATTATATTAATAAAAGTGAATTGTTTTGAAGAGTTGTATGATTTCTGGTTGTCAAAATATCACCATTCTTTAATACAACCCTTTAATATAACCCTTTAAACAACTCACTTTTATTAATATAATAATCTATAAAATGATTGAATAAAAATAAAAATTAAAACAAAACTATGATTATAATATTAAAAGAGATTATTATAAAATGATTGAATAAAAATAAAAATTAAAACAAAACTATTATTATAATATTAAAAGAGAGTTGTTTATAGGAGTTGTATGGATTTGGGTTGTCAAAGTATCATTTTCCAAATCGAAAACCATACATTGACAACTGGAAAACAAACATATGTTCCATAACTGGGACTAAAAATAAATTAATTAAAAATAAGGGTTTAATTAAATAAATTAATTAAAAATAAGGGTTTGATTAGTAAAATTGTAGGGTTCAGAGATGTAATATTGTAAAAATAGGGGATGTTATGGTAAAAAGTGAAATATATGTTTGAAGAAGGTATAGTATTTTTTGCTTGACTCATTCTCGCTCGACCTAGCTCGATTAGGGTAAATTTTCGCTTGTCTTCTCCGTCTCGCTCCGGCGCTCGACTTCCTCTCGCTTGTCTTCCTTCGTGTCGTTGGAGCTGAACCTCACTGTCTGTTGCTTGCGGTGAGTATTCGTTTAACAACATTTGCTTGATTTTGTGTGTATTTTTTATTGGGTTTCCATTGTTGTTTTCTTTTCTGTTTATCTTTGATTGGGTTTGTAATGAAGGTGTTTTTCACGGTTTAGGGTTAATTGAGTTGTGATGCTATATTAATGTCGAACAAGTGTTTGATGAAATGCTATAACGAAGAATTGTATTTGCGCATTCTTGCTTTGTTTTCTGTTTATCTTTGATTGGGTTTGTAATGAAAGTATTCTGTAGGGTTTAGGGTTAATTGAGTTGTGATGCTATATTAATGTCCAACAAGTGTTTGATGAAATGCTACAATGAAGAATTGTATTTGCATGACAAACATTTTGTATAATATGCACAAGATTTACACACACGTTTGTTAATTGGCAATGACAAACATTTTGTATAATATGCACAAGTTCTATTTCAGATCTTTGCTCCCACTATACACAATGGTCATTGGTCGTGTTATGTGCTGAAATGTAAGGATGGAGAACTGTTTATATTAGATTCATTGGGCCATGATAATAGATCACGAAAATCAATTGATAGAGCTATGGTAAATATTTGTTTTAAGTTGTTTACGTAGGTAATATAGTTAATTCAGAGCTATGTTTATTTGGTGAATAATGTAATATTGTAAACAGTTGCAATGTTTTGAACATCTATTGTCGCTGTCGGAAACAAAGTCATCGAGGACCACTGGAGAACTTAAGGTTACAAAGGAGGACTTGCCAATTCAACCAAACATGCTAGTATGTTATTATAGTTGAAATTTTGTTTGCAAAATGTTGTATGTAATGTGTGTAATAACTACATTCAATTGTGCAGGTATGATTGTGGATTGTTTGTTTTAAAATATATGGAGTTGTGGGATGGTGTGAGCAAAGTGAATGGGAAAAGCATGCCTCATTACACATCGGTAAACATTAAAGTTATTGTATTATTGTTTTGTTTTTTATTACTATGAATATAATTTATTATGACATTGTTCATATTGTACAGGAGCAAGTTCAGAAATTTCGAGAAGAATATGTATGCAGATGGGTACTTCATCCTCAAAATCTTCATCGACAAGTCATGGTTATTGAATCAGGAGTTAACATCCTCATCTAGGAATAGAAATGTAGATATTGTATTTGATTATTTGTTCATCTTCATTGATGAATGTTGTACAGTTTATTCATATGTAATATAACTGTTAAGTTGGTTATGGATCATTTAAATGTTAAATATTATGACATTAACAAGTGACTGATTTTTGGACCATGGTTACTATTTTTTGTATCATTTTGTTTTATTTTGACAATTACATTATTGATTGGGTTTTACCGTTCCAGTTGCACAATATCCCTATTCAGATGATGCAGACTATCTCCATGTAACAGAGAGTGTATATTGAGAACCACAGTTGTACAAAATACATGTAATTACTACCAGATTTATATGTTACGAACATATGAAGATGAGGATGCTCCTCTATAGTATTAATTGTTAAAGGGCATGTTGGATTGGTTGATAAGGGTAGAACTATCCTCATACCACATACTTGGATGATATATGGAGCGTGGCCACCACCCACTCTCACTGCTCAAGTCAACATCATAGTATCATCAACAATCGGGCAAGGATAACTTAGTTCCACAAAACAAAATGGTCATTAATTTCCATTTGAATTTTTGATGGCAAGATGTTGATATGTAATATAAAAGAAGAAATTCAGATTAAAAGAACAAGGGAAGAGAACAATATAAACTAGCATATGGAAATTGTACAAGTGATAAGATTTATTGTAGGAAAGATGTATAGGTTTACGTATCATCTTTGTAGGAAAGAATGCGCTTAACAAAAAACAGATTGAAATTTGCATGTCACGTCTCATTCAAGTTCAGCCTTGGCCACAGACGAAATGTACAATGTAGTTAACCACATACTGTAACATGGATAACCACATATTTGAATCACTTGCCACCTATTTTTTGTAAGGGTACCTTGCTCAAGCGATGGATTTCTCGCTTGAGCGAGTGTTCGCCGTAGACGAAACGTCCAACACAGGTAGCCACATAATATGACATGGGTCACCACATATTCGAATCACTTGTCGCTCGCGCGATGATAACGTCGCTTGAGCGAGACAAAACCCGAGAATCCCCGTTGTTTGAAGGTTTAGTCGCTTAAGCGATAGTTTCGTCGCTTGAGCAAGTTTTGATCCACAAACGAAATGCCCAACACAGCTACCCACATAATATCACTCGGTTAACCTTATATAAGTGTCGCTCAAGCGATGATACTGTCGCTAAAGCGAGACAGAACCCTCCATTGTTTGAAGGTATCGTCGCTCGAGCGATGAATTCCTCGCGTTAGCGACCGCTGACCTACAGAGGACACATCCAAAGCAGTTAGCCATATAATATAACTTGGTTGACCACATATCAGAATCACTTATCGCTCAAACGAGTACAACGTCGCTTGAGCGAGACAGAACCGGGAGTCCCCCTTGTTTGAAGGCTTCGTCGCTCAAGCAATGAATTTATCGCTTGAGCGAGTGTTGACCAAATGACGAAACGTCAAACGCAGTTAGCCAAATAATATAACTTTGTTCACCAGATATTTGTTCACTTGTCGCTCAAGCGTTCATTACTTCACTTGAGCGACAAAGAACCCGAGGGTCTCCTTTGGTTAAGGTTCCATCGCTCAAGCGATGTGATCCTCGCTTGAGCGAATCTTGAACGACAGATGAAACGTCCTACGCAGATAGCCATCTAATATAACTTGGTTCACCACATATAAGATTCAACTGTCGCTCAAGCGATTACATAGTCGCTGGATCGAGACATACCCGAGAGTCCCCATTGTTTTGAGGTTCCGTCGCTCAAGCGAGGGATTCCTCGCTTTAGCGGGTACTGACCCACTATCGAAACGTCCAACGCAGTTAGCCATATAACTCGGTTTACCGCATATAAGAATCAATTTTCGCTCAAGCGATCATAACTTCGCTTGAGCGAGACATATTCTTAGAAAGCGGTTGATAAGAACCGCTTTTAAAAATATATATTAGATAGTGGTTAGACCTAAACCGCTGTCTAATGAATGTTTATAATAGCGGGTTTATAATAGCGGTTAGACGTAAACCGCTATAATAAAGTGATCGACTATAATTGTCAAAGTGATCGACTATAATTGTATAATAATCGATCATAATTTTCGATAACCGATTATAATTGAGAATGATCGATTATAGTTGGAGAACATCGATCATTGTTTGTGCTAAGCGATTATAGTTTTACATAATTTCACTCTGCATGTCTCTCGCCGGCGCACGCAAAGAAACGTTCGTTCTCTCCCGGCTCTGGTTCGTCTATGTTTAATATTGGGTTCTGTTCATTTGGTTTAGGGTTTAATATGGTTGTTGATTTCGGTTTTGAATTTTAATTTGATGGTTCATCTTGTTTGATTTCGTTTGCATTGTAAAGAAGAAGCATACAGAAACCTTCGAGGTTAATGTATTCTTTGCTTTCTAATTACTCGCAGATTCTCTGTTCTCTGTTTTCGTTCACTGTTGACTATCTCAATAGTCGTAAACATAAACCATGGCTGGCAAAAGAAAAAGCTCCAAGCGCACCCACTCAGAAGCGACTTCTTCAAGTACCCAAACTGTGACCACGAAGGAGGTGATAGCCCCAAAGGTCCTTGACACCCAATACTTTGTTAATAACGGATTTGACTTCATTAGAGTTTTGAAGGATGTAGAGTTAAATTCCTTCATTAGAGTTTTGAAGGATTGTATTTAAACTGGCATTATAGTGATGTTTCATTATAATCCTCAGTCTCTTTGACACTCTTTTTCTTTTGTCGGTGCCAGGCTGAGGACAAAGGCAAGAGGTCATGTTCTTCATCAGGTCATATGTCAACCCTGTTGGTGCAGTGCCATCAGAAAGAAAAGACAGGATGCAATTATATAGTGTGTTGTGTACAACGAACTGGTGGAACAATTTGTTAACATGAAGTTGAAGGATTGTAATAATGAATGACTTGTCAATTTTAATTGTTGTAGACATATAAACATCAATGTAAATTTAGATCGTACTATTTTAATATTATTGGTTTGTTATGTATTGAAATGTCCACACTATTTACAAATTAAACAGCTAACGAACCAATTATTCAACAAAAAATTCATGA